CCTTCAAAATTTGCAGAACGATTCTCTGAACGGAATTATGAAGGTTTGTTCGACTGAAGGGACAGAGAGTCGAGCGCGGTTGCCAGCCAATTTGCACTAATAGCCGTCTAAGCGCGTTCGTGTTCAACGGAGGGCACCTTTTTGCATATTGTTAGGACTGTCTCTTTTGAGTCTAGAAAACATTCTATTTTCTTCTATTTTTCAGGTGCTTCATTTCATAGATGTTAACTATTCTTCGAATACTAACATGTGGAACAACTTTTTCGAGCTTAATGAGTTATGAATACTTAACAACATTAGTAACTATCAGTCTCGTTAGAAGTCGTTGTTCAACGCTGTTTGCTGAAACTTATACACTAGTATACGAGTGCATAATTAACAGCCATAAAACTTGAAAAGGAAAAACATAGAGTGCGCACCATTTCACCCAACAGGTTTAAGAATAGCAAGTTCCCTGTGCTCTGCATAAGGTAAGGAGGTCTCCGATAACAACTTAGATGGCAAAAGATGTGAAGGACAGTGGATGGACGTTCAGGGGCTCTACAAATGCTACGTTTTCCGAGACGTAAGGCATTTGAGACTGCAAAATTTATGAGCGGTGGTCTTGTCGATGACCCTTTTCGCGGATGCGAAAGCTCAGGTTTCGCTGCCATCCGAATGGTCTGTTCCCATTAACATCAAACTTTGACTGAACACTTTTGAACTGTATTCAGCAATACTTTAGCAGCATAGCTATGATCGAAATGAACAAGTTGGTCAAAATCGCTTTCTTGTCGATTTTTTTCCAGTCCTTTTTGGCATTTTCTGTAACGTTCAGCAAAAATGAACCTCGTCTGTGTGATCCATGTAAGGACCCCTACTCACGCATTAAGCCGAAAGGTTACCATGTCCTGATTGGCGCCTCTTATCAGTTCCATCAACAACACTGTTACATCGGTAGTCCGCATGAGCAAATTCCTTGCAAATGAACAAGAATTTAGGCAAAGTCAAGCAATACTTTGAATTCCACAACTTGGAAACTTTTCACTGCATGGACTGATTCCTTATTGCGAGCAAAAATTTAGCAGCATAGTAAAGGAAAGCTATATCTATAGGTAAGGGTATGTTTAGGATAGGTTTAATTATCCAAGTTTGAGAAGAAATCTCCTGGGTGCGTACGAGCTCTCCACGATGTCGACAGCGCCTGTCGAGGTGGCCGAAGAGGCCCTCGAGAAGAAGGTCGAAGCGATGAAGATCGTCGATGGGAACAATATGGAGGTTAAGAAAGGAACCACCACCACAGACGGCAAAAGCGAACGTCGCGAGCGTAGATTTGCTCGTATGACGGATGAACGCCGCCGTATTTGGGAGGAGGAGCAGATGACTAAGAAGGTGGCAGAGACCGGTCTCAAAGATCATGTGAAATGGTATTCCGTCCTTGACCATTACGGTTTTATTTCGCGCGCCGACGGCAAGCCGGACATCTTTGCGCATCAAAGTGCTATTTCGAAGTCACAAACTGAGAAGTTCTACCTGCGTACGTTGGCTGATGAAGAAGAAGTTGAATTTGATATCGTTGAAGGACGTAAGGGTCCTGAGCATCTAATGTGACAGGACCAAATGGTACGAACGAATGTGAGAGGTTCTAAGTTTCAAAGAGTACTATTGTACCGTTTCCGTCCCAACCGCCGCCAAGTTACCCGTGATAATGACGCTGACAAGAAATCCTCTGCGAACACCAACCAGGTGAATGCATCACCTGACGGCCAAGGGAAGAAACCGCTCAGAGGAAGAAGTAAGTTGGCTTTTGCTTTATCCTATTTAGTAGCAGTCATTCATGAACCGCTTCTTGCAATGAAGGGATGACAATCGCAGTGTCTGTCACCCTTTAACATCACTAATAAACCAAGGAGACTGATGCACTATTATAGGGCAGGGTCGCCGTTTCCGTGGACGTCGTACCCGACAACCGCCAGCAGACGAAGCAAACGGTACAGTTCCTGCCACTGATGGACAGGTGACAACAAATGCTGAAGCTACCGGCACTACAACGGGGAAGCCAAGCGGTCCAAGACGCCGTGGCAACTACTTCAATCGTCGTTTTAGACGCCAGAGCAAGAACGAGCCTAAACGTGAAGGAGGACCTGAAATTGAGAGTCTTAATGCGTCGGATTCTGGACACGCAACCGATTAAAGGACAGTGTGTCCATTAGGCCGACCAATGAAATGTATACTCCATTCAACGTTGGATGGGATGGATCATATATTTCTTTGTCATCTGCTTTCTCCACGTCACTCGAAATAACATATTCAGCAGAGTAGTTGACAAACCGTTGACTACGTGGCTAATAGGCCTTCTCAATAAACTGGGCGAGAATCGATAACAGCCATTATGAAAAGCGTTAACCGAAGCCAGGAACCAACCAAAAAACCCGGTTAACTTCCTTGTTGGCAGGTCTCTTCAATGTGCTGGGCGAGAATCGACATCAGCAGTGATGAAAATTATGAAAAACACTGACCACACCGAAAACAACTCTTCAACGAAACACTCCAATGAGTTACTTTTCCTCTCCTAGAATTGAGGCTTGTCATCATCGGATGTGAACGAAAGCTCAATCAGTAGTGACCCTTCTCCCTGCTCTAGGGAAAGTGAGGACGAGACCCAACGATATGAGAGTGAACAGAACTTCTACTGCGGCAGAATTTTCCCTCCTTTCCAAGGACGTAGGACTGAGTTCACTTTTCACTCTAATGCACTTTAAATCCAGATACGGGCTTTTCAGATAAGCAGTTCACCAAAATTGGTGGCAGCACTGTGTACTGTGTTAATCTGCTCTCAACATGAACCTTCCAAGTTCTGCTCGATTGACGGGAACGCTCGCGTCTGAGTAGTGACCCACTCTGCTCTCCCACATCAGTTTGCAAGTCTCCTCACAGTGCGCTAATTCATGGTGCATTGACAAGACTACAAAGAGCTAGAAAGTCCAAACAAAGCTCTCACATGGATATGTACCAATATGCTCTGAAAAAAGTGTCTTTATAGAAACACAATCCGTATAAAAGGAGCGGACCGTCACAATAATCTGTATCCATCAAAATGTTCGCTCTTATTTCACTCGCTCTCGTCCTCAGTAAGTCGCTATTCCTAGTATCGAACCCCAACTGCTGATGGGCTTTTTTCCCATTAGGACAGCTCCAGTTCTAGGGAAGGAAACACGTAGTGTTTTTCAGCTGACGCTTCAGCTGTGACCCTGGAAAGTTGCCTTACCTACGAAAGAGGAGTGTCCCAGATGTATTTACAGTTCCATGAGAGGTACTTCCCCGGTATGGTGAGTGTTTTTCATTACTCCTAACACCGTTCTCGCTTGGTTTATGGAAGTAACATGTTAGCTTTGATCGTGTACGGTTTTCTCAGCCATTTCGTAGAGTATGTGCATTTGAATGACATCGAGACTGCAAACAATAATGAAATACGTGAACTATCCGATAAAGGATAATATGGATACCGAGCATTCCCTGTTCAACATCACCTCTTAGATACAGTGCTCATTGATCAGTAGATGTTCTACGATGTGACTCAGGAGTTAAATTTCATCCACAGGAATGGAACAAAGACCTCCACGCAGCGGCTTGCCACGTACTCATGGGGGAGGAAAGGGATGGTGATCTATATGAACTGCGAGCTAAAGTGTTCGTATTCCTTAATTACAGGCCTATCCTCCATGCTTATACAAAGCAATGATGCTCGTTTAGGAATGTTCCGAAAGGTTCACCCCAGTCCAAAGTCAGGAGGGCTCTCGCTTCCTTGCCAAGGAACAACTTGGACGGTACGTTGGAATGGTCGCTTTTACAATGCAGACGTTTCTAACTTGCGCAAACCTGTCTAAGGCTAAACCCTTCTTCAGGCGGAGCAGTTGCGAGGATTTGGTTCAGTTGAATATGGATGTAATAGTGCGGTCAATGGAAATGAGGTTAGTGTCGTATGCCTCTACCGAAGATCGGACTGAGCCTTCTTACAAAATCCATACAATCTGAGAAAATCTGCATCGAATCTACTAAAAGTAGACTGTGCGACCAAAATTTCATTGAATAAAGCTTTTCATCTTGCACAAGAACAGACGTGTAGCAAGTGATTCAAATCTGGGTTGTGTAGGCTGTGTTTCACCTGTCGACCGCTGATCGGTTCAATGTACGGAATAAAGGACTGAAAAGAACAAGAAGTTTCACCAGATTCAGATTCTTTCCTCCGATAACGAGTGCACACTCACACTACCAAATATCAGAATGCAGTCGGTGACGATGAAAACATTTCCTTTCATCACTGCGACTAGCTGACGGCGTGAGTAACATATCTTGCCTTAACATATTCATTAACTTTGCTCCCACTTGAGTTCCCCTTTTCTTCAGCATCCAAAAGCTCGCGAATCTAGAATATCGCGAGAGGGTGCTTGAGGCTCCACATTCACCAGATGCACAAAGACACACCTCGACCGAAAAGAGCCGTGGAAAAAGAACTACAAGATGCAGTGAGGGGCTTAAATGACTACAATTTCATGAGCAATTGCAGCAACCGTGAGCAAGCGAATGTTGGTTCGCTGGTTCGCTCAAGAAACCTTGAGAGGAGGAAAAAACCGTCTCTGAAAAACTTCTAATGGAAAAATGGTGACGGCGCATCCTGCTTTCTATGTTTATGTTCTGGGCTCTGTCATATGGGCTCATGTCTTTGATTACAGAACCCACGGCACAGCAATTAAGCTACGACAGCTGCTGTATTTCAGAGGCTAGAGCCTGAATCAGTTTTCCTATGTAAACATTACAGGAGAGCAAATGAAGGGTAAGAAACCACCGTGCCGACACTTTCTGCCATAAACCTACCCAGTATCCGAACCGAATCTGAATTCGAACACCTACAGCGTGCGTTCAATTCGGTGGTCTTGCGTTTGGCCTTTCGATGCTTTGTGTGGTAGTTAAAAGCGGATACTCAAGATGTTTCTGGTGCATTTTATTGCATGGGAGTATAGTTAACAGGAAGTTAATCAGACAAATAAGGGTAGCCAGATCAGACCCGATTCTTTTTTGTATGAGCTGGGTCTTTCCTCTCCATATTCTCAGGAAATGTGGGGGCCTGCCGAATTGGCCAAATCTCATTCTTCGCGTGAAATGGGCCTTTCCCCAACATATTTTCAAATACTATTTCCCTAAATTCTCATGATAAGACGCTGTCCGCCATTAGATAAATCCAAGCCAGATCGCGATGCTGTGTTGCGCAAACACTAAGACAGCCTTCGGAATTGTCGCACTTTAACACGCGTTGCTGCGCTTGAATACGCTGCAATTACAAGTGCGCTTCAATTGCATCAAATCCCAGCTTCCCTTTATATTCTTAACCCGGTATTCAACGCCTTTTTCACCCTTGCTCATTTCCAGCTGATTCTTAGCTCCTCTCTTTTCACTTTTGACATTGAATTTTGATGTAGTTCCTGAGACAGGAACACGGATAATGACATTGTATACCGTTTACTTTAGCCATTCAGTCTTAGGGATGTTATTGATTTTTGGATGAAGACATCAAAGAATCAATAGCATCCTGAGACAGTGATCCATCATGCTGATGAAACAGTGAAAAAGGGGTTGAATACCGAAAGAAAATACATAAAGGGAAGCTGGGGTCCGGCACAATTGGAGCGCGCTTGTAAGTGAAGAGGGTCCAGGCGCGACTAGTCTGAACGCTGCCTATGTAGGTCAAGGTGCAAGCTGGAAAAAAGTTGTTTTTTTCAAAAAGCTTAGTCGGAAAGGACACATATCAAGGAGATGCAAGCATAGATAATGAACACTAAAGGGTGGATGTGATCGAGAAAATTAAGAGAGATCAGATAAAAAACGTTTGTAACGTAACAACGAAAGGAGAAGTCACCTACTCTATTAGGGAGTCTCTAACAAGGGAGGTCTTTCAAGTCGTTGCGCGCTTTTTGGAAATACGCTTTTGTTTGTTGTAGCCACATTGGTCTTTAATATGGTTTCATTTTTGCTATGCGTCTCTGTGTAGGTCAGAAAGTGAGTAGAATCATTCGACAAGAATGGGCTATTTTAACTGCCTTAATGGGCTCCCTTCTGAATGTTAATTGTCCGGAAGTTCTCCACGTTCTGAGTGTTTCACTTTTAATGATAATAACTTTCATGTAACATGAAAGGCTTTCTGAGCTTCATTGTCTTGTGACTTCTTTGAAGCCCTTCTTCAGGTCTACAAACATCACATTTAAAGCCTACACCAACATCATCTAACCTTACATACATAGGCAAGAAATCCAAAGGGGAAAAAACAATCAACAAATAACTGACCGGCTTCCTACGGAAGGAGGGTGGGAGGGGGATCCGGGAGTATGCTGCAAGATGGTCTATGATGATGTGAGAAACAGTAACACGCAACATTGACTCACCTCCCTAGCTGTCCTTTCCTTCAGAAATGGCACAGCTAGATTGGTGAAGCAGTGGTGGGATGTTGATACACTGCTATTTGTCATATGTCACGTATCACCCGTTATGTCACATCATTGTGCAGCAATGATGTCCATTGTCTTAGCTCCTCCCTGTTGTTGATCGGTGGATTCCCCCTTCGAATTCTCCGGCCCTTCCTTTATTTTTCTTCCCACCTGGCCCCTTATGTTCCTGTATATCACGCACACTTCGAGTACCCACCTGGCCCCTTATGTTCCTGTATATCACACACACTTCGAGTACAGGTGCACGTTCAGGCTCAACACGCGCTCAGGTGTTCATCACCTTTTGTAGAGTGGTCGTACAGTTTCCCCGAGGTAGAATTCCGAATATGACGCACACTCCACGCTTCGTACGACGTAGACAGTGCCTTCAAAAGGCAGATCTTTCGTTCATCCTGGAAGTAAAGACAGTTTTTGCGGCCACGGTCTTCGTATAATCGCGACGACGTAGTGTTGGCAATAGATTATCAGACAATAGATTATCAGACAGGAGACACTTTCGAAGCGGATTCGCATCCCCGAATTTCCTATAGCTCGATTGACATCCTTCGCGAAGGAGTCTGAGTGCAAGGGATTTATTAGTGGGACGCCTCCTGGTACCTGATATGGGCGCCAACAATTTACGCGTCTGCTTCCATAGTCGTTTTCGAGAAGTATACACGTCATGGTATCCATCACTACAGGACTGGACGTCAATCCTCCGAGCTGTTGTCAAGGCATTCTGAACGATATTCCTCTTCATGAAAAGAGGGTGGCAGCTTCTCGAGTGGATCAGGATGTTCTTCGAAGCAGGTTTCTTATGCCACATGGAAAAATATTTTTCCTCACGACAGGTCTTTTTGGTAGCTCAAGAACGGTAGGAAACCATCGTGTTCAGGTTCCTCGACAGTCAGTGCAATGGTTGAGTGCACTGAGTTCAGCTTCAAGAAGGTTTGACGTAATGCTGTTCTGGACTTCGCAACGACAAATATGTCGTCTATGTAACGGCCGTAGAACAGCAATCCCGATGATAGCGAACGCCTTTCCAAACGATCCATGAAGTAGTGTTGCGAGAAATGGTGCATTTCGACATCAATGCAATTCAACTGCCCATTGCTAATCCACGCGTTTGCTCGTAAATGTTGTAGCGGAAACGAAACATGTTGAATTTCACAACATTGCTCAGCAGTTCTTCGATATCGCTGATGGACAGTCCGTAAAGTTGACAACTGTTCTGATGTTGTCGTAGAAGATTTATGCACGCTTCCACGGCAATCCTTGTGTCCACGTTTGTGTATAACGCAGACACATCGAAGCTTTGATACGATGTTCTGGGATCGATAGGAATGGACGTTTTCCGCAAGCTATTGGAAATATACAGGGGGGGGGGCAAAAAAAAAGTCACTTTGCCTCATTGACTTTCGAGGCGCTATAAGTTACACTTTATCAAATTCTGATCGGACATTTTTACTACCATATTGAAGAGCATATTAAGTACTATCACGACACTCCGCCACAGCCTTCTGGACGACCATCGAGAGATTCTGGCACGCGACCGCGATGTGGTACCTGAGATCAGCGGGGTAGTCGATTTCTCCGCCACCGTAGACCACCCTATTGAACTCCGCCCGAACTAGGTAATTGAGTGGGTTCAGGTCAGGGGACATACTTCAATATTACATCTTCTTCAGGTACGAAACCCTTCCATTCGAAGTAGGCGGGAGTTTTTCCAAAACCCTTCGATTCCATGTGGTGGCACCCAAACCTGTAGCAGCACAAGGTCTCCAAGAAGGTACGGGCGACCACATGTAGGGAGGATATTCTTCTCGAGTTACTTGATGTAACCGCCAGCGCTCACCTTCAGTCGGGGTCTACAAAGAAAATATCGGTCTTCCCATTCCAGGTACCCCGGTCCATACCATCAACTCGCGCCTCGGCGACTACGGTGAAGATGATGTCCTAGACCGTAGCGAAGTTGACGAAGCTGCTCGATGTTGGGGGTCATCCAGATTGAGAGTACTGGTCTCCAGGTAGCTATCCATGGGTGACTCCATACTAGAAGTTTCGCAGCTGTTTGGAGGTGACATGAATTCCAGGTCTTCTCCAGTCAGGTTGCGACTGGAGATGACTTCATATTTTGGTGTACATGAAGGTGATGGGCGAGAGCCAGCTCCTGCTAGAGGAACATCTTGGGTATCTTCCGCCCTGGTACTCGTATCCACGTCCTCTGTCTGGGCAGCGAAAACTTTGCTGATATGTGACTCGGTCGAAGTGACTTTTTTTGGCGCCCTTCTGTATTTTCCATGTGGCATAGGAAACTGCTTCGAAGAACATCCTGATCCACTCGAGAAGCTGCCACCCTCTTTTCATGAAGAGGAATATCGTTCAGAATGCCTTGACAACAGCTCGGAGGTTGACGTCCACAAATGTTCCTGTAGTGATGGATACCGTGACGCGTATACTTCTCGAAAACGGCTATGGAAGCAGACGCGTAAATTGTTGGCGCCCATATCAGGTACCAGGAGGCGTCCCACTAATAATTCCCTTTCTCTCAGACTCCTTCGCGAAGGATGTCAATCGTGTTGTCAGGAAGGGATGCCAATCCGCTTGATATTGCGACCGCCGCCAACACTACGTCGTCTTCTTACGTCGTCACGAGTATACGAAGACCGATGTGGCCGCGAAAACTGTCTTTACTGCCAGGAGGAACGAAAGATCTGCCTTTTGAAGAACACCGTCTACGAAGTGGAGTGTGCGTCATGTTCGGAATTCTACATCGGAGAAACTGGACGACCACTCTACAAAAGGCTTGATGAACATCTGAGGGCTTTCCGGAACCCAGCCAGCTATCCGGATAACCCTTTCTCGAGACATCGTTCCTTGCGCCACACGAATGAGCGTGCACCTGAACTAAAGGTGCGCGTGATCCACAGGAACATAAGTGACCCGGTGGAAAGGAAAATAAAGGAACAATCGTGGAGCAAATCTTCCCACGAGGAGTTGTTGGGTGAGCAATGTGATCAGATTTTTGAAAATGCACATGTTTCACCGAATTACAATGATAGTGAAGGTCTCCTTTGTGTTTTCAAAGAAATGATGAAAAAAAAATGTAGCGCCTCCTATAAGTAAATATAATGGTAGCACTTCCCTTGACGACTTCGTAAGAGGTTTTAATGCTAAATATCCCCCAGCGTTGTGGTCCGACGCAGAGCGGTGTAGTATACTGGCAAACTGTCTGGAAGGGAGAGCGAAAGCTGCTTTCGACAATTTGTCAGAGGAAACAAAAAATAGTTCATTTACCACTGTCATAAGTTCAATGCGAGCGGCGCGCAACGAAGCCGGCGAGCGGCTAGCAGCTCTAGAACAGTGGAAGAATCTTAAGAAATTTTCGAATGAGTCGGTTGATGACTTTTGTAATAGGATGGAAAAATTTGTAGGCTTGCACATCCAGGTCAGAACATGGACTTCGAATTGGGTACGATGTTATATACGTCACTCAGGTTTTAGCCCAATTCATATCACATGTTGGCTATGCTGGAAGCTCAGCCCGGCCATGTTTATCAGTCTGTTAAGGAGATAGCCTTGAGACTAGAAAGAAGCAGAACCACCGAGATGATGGCAAGTCCTCGAAACGGATATAAGAACCAGAAGACAATCCAAGGATCAAGGCAAACACAAACCGCCCGACAACAGGAGCGCCAGTGAAGCTACTAACGTCGTCGACGATGATGGAAGAGCGCTCCCGAAAATGCTTCTCTTGTAGCGAAGAGGGTCACAGAGCCAGGAAATGTCCCAAACCAAGAACAACGGCAGCACCAGGCAAGACGGTGGATCCAACGCAGAAGTTGAATCGACACGACCGTCCACAACAACAGAATCCTCAGTCTACAAACAAGGCCTCAATAACCACCCGCCTACAGGAATGGTGCGGCACTGTGTCAGTGCCCAGAAAAGGTTCCTCCTCCAAATCACAGGCGTATGGAAAGCCATCATTGTGCGAGGTGATCTCATTAGGTATTCGAGCCAAAGCTCTCATAGATACCGGGAGCGTCATCTCAATAATCTCGCTAGGGACACTAAGGCGAGCACAGAAGGAAGGCGCAGACCTAGACAGCATGGTGACCATGCTTGGAGAAGTAAACGTACAGGACATCAAGGATGCCTCGGGCAACCCCATGAAGTTCTTACAGCTGATCTCCACTAACCTTGAGGTACAAGGTGCGGGGAAGGCACGAGTACTCATGCATGTGCAGGACAGCATGAATGAGACAATACTACTGGGCACAAATGCCCTAGAAAGCCTTGGCATATACATCACCTTCAAGAAACCAGACACCCACCTAAGTGTGAAGAGCTGGAGACATAGCACTACAGAGGAAGCCAGGGTAGTCGCAAGAGTGCTCGTACCACCAGGTGGTACTTCCAACGTTAACATAACAGGTCCAATCTTACACGGCGAAAGGGTACTGAGCTCCAGTACCGAGAGGATAGGCTCTGGAGTCTGCCACATAGAAAATGGTACCACCGTCGTTCCAGTAACCAATCAGAGCAAGCAACCTTGGACTCTTAGAAAAGGTGACCGCGTAGGATGTTGGACAAATGTAAACATGGTTTAACCCCAACAGCCAAGCAATCCAAGGTGACATGCTGCAAGTGGAGAAACCTGAAGCAGCACCCAAAGAACACCGAATAAAAGAATTGTTGGGTATTCTCGCTAAAAACAGGACGGACGGTAGCATGTTATCAGGAGACCTGATACAAATTGTTTCTGAGAATAACGAGGCTTTCGCTATTTCGGATGCCGAGTTAACCCAAACGGATTTGGAAAAGTACGAAATCAACGTTGAGGGAGAAGCACCCATTAAACAACGCACTAGACAGATTCCCTATAGTCTGAGGGCTAAAGTTGAGGAGTTGCTAGTCGATCTGAAACGGAGGAAAGTCAATTGAAGATAGCAGGTCACCATGGGCTTCGCCCATAGTATTAGTTGCAAAAAAGGACGGCACGATACGCTTATGTGTCGATTACCGAGAGGTGAATAAAATCACAAAAAAGGATAGCTACCCGCTGCCGTCAATAGAGGTACCTTACAAAACCTGAGAGGGAAAAAATTTTTTTACTTCGCTAGATCTAGCCAGCGGCTACTGGCAGATACCCCTAACAGACACAACAAAAGAAGTCAGCGCATTCACGACTCCTTTTGGTCTGTATCAATTTCGTGTACTTCCTTTCGGATCAACTGCGGCGCCTGCAGTGTTCCGAAGGCTTATGAATAAAGTGCTGGGACACTGTATGAGCACAGGAGAAGTTTCTGTTTATATTGACGATATTTTGATTGCAACCGATACCGAGAAAAAGACATTACGAAGTGCTCGCAGAGGTTCTAACAGCGCTTCAAAACGCACATCTTGAAAGTAAAGCCTCAAAAATGCAAGGTGATGGAATCAAAAATTGCATTTCTTGGTCACATCATCGATTAAAAAGGCGTGCATACCGACCCTGACAAGATCCAAAAGATCGTTGATTACCCACAACCAAAGAATTTGGCAGAGTTGCGTGCGTTTCTCGGTTTAGCAGGGTATTATCGTAAATTTGTGTACAGATTTTCTCATATAGCGAAGCCATTGTACGACATCACAAGTACAAAAATTCAGTATAGCTGGGGCAACGCTCAGCAAGAAGCCTTCAGTGCTTTGAAAGAGGCCCTTTCAAAAGCAACCGTTCTCGCTCAGCCTGACATAGCAAAGGCTTCGGGACGGAACACGCCCCTTCTACTTGTACACGGATGCAAGCCAAAACGGAGTAGGAGCCGTATTAGCACAGGAAAGTGACGACGGTCTAATTCACCCTGTGTACTTTACATCAAAGCCGCTAAGTAAAGCTGAGAAAAGGTACCATATAACCGACCAAGAAGGCATTGGCTCTGGTTCATGGCCTTAAAAAATTTCACTACTTCGTATATGGAGTACGAACTATAGTAAGAACTGACCACGCCCCTTCAACATCACTGTTCAAAAGGCGAAATGTTTCGCCACGAGTTCTGAGATGGGCGTTAGAAGTCCAACGCTACGATTTAGTGATAGAGCATATTAAAGGTTCATCCAACAGTGTCGCAGATGCCCTCTCACGCAGCGTAGCGCAGCAAGAATCCGATGATGCTCCTATTACAGGAGAGAATGAAAAAGTTGTTGGTTCGATAGAGTGCAGTAAGGTGGCTAGACCTACTGAGAGACGATCCAGATTTCCAGCCTTTGATCAACGCTGTCGAACAAGACGAAGTTATCGAGGTTCGATTACCTCGCCTTGACAAAAAATTAAGTAGTGCCGACTTTGT